ATTTCATCCAGGACTGCAGGTGCATGCCACAACGCATGACCTGTTCAGTTCAGCCTGGGACCTACACCTGGACCTCCCAGGTGTCCCAGACCTTGCACCACAGTGGTCTACGACCCACACCATCACCGCTGGGTCTTTGCTACTTTTTTGGTAAACGCACATTGTATATGCACTCGACCTTCTGAATTTGTGGATCAGTTGTTTTTAATTAATTGAATAAAATGGATTTTTAATAAGCCTTTAATATTTGATCTTACACTTCAGATAATATTTATCATTTGCTCTGCTTACTTATCTGTTAATAACTTTACTTTATGTGATTAATTACCATAAAAACTTTAAAGAATTGGCCATTTTCTTCATAACTTCAGTAGAAGTGTTTCTTTTATTTTGAAGGAAAAACATGAAGAATAGAACAGGATTACCCTTTGTTAGAACAGTTCAGCCCAACCTAACAACGAAGAAAGGTGCTGACTTACCATGTGATTGGGGGCTTCTAATCCATATTGCATGAATGTATTTTAAACCACCCATTGTTTTCAGAAATGTAAAAATACCTTTATACTAAATTGAGTAAATGTGTCCATCTGGAGCCACATTTGCCTGTGTGCACACCCTTCGGTTCTCATTTGTACGTGCATATGTGCAAAATGTTTTCAAATGATATTTTTAAGAAATTAGCATTCTGATTATAGCGTACAGGACTCTTTATCTAACAGGATATCCTAAACATTCATTATATGGCTAAAATGTTCAGAATACCCAAAGAAATATACTTAAATGGAAATCCAACACATGATAAATTATAGCTTCGTGAGAAAACTAAAACCATTATAAGCTTACGATGAGGCTATATTCCACATATTTAAATAGTGCCTTTCCACCAGAGGGCATCCAGCTCTCTAGTTATAATTAAGTGAAGATTCAAGAAAAATTACTGGAATTACCTCATCTGTGGTAGGGAGATTATTGAGGTGGATGAGTATAGGGTAGATTTACCTTTACTCTGCAAAGTTTCTTTGATGGTATCAAATTATTAGTTAGGGGAAAATTAGCTTACTACATAGGATGGCGTATACAGTTGAGTGTTTTCGTGAGGCAAGGGAGAGGACAGGGTTGGGAAAAAGATGGCTCCACCACTCCCTGGAATCCAATGCTACAAGTCGGCTGCTTTAATTTTTCTGTCCTATTCAAGGGCAGCAACGTCACGAATGTGCCTAGGCCCTTGGTCAGTGACCAACAGAACAAGTGGAAGGACAATGAGATGAGTAAAAACACTGAGACAAGGGTCCTAGCAATGCAACTCATGCTGCAAAGACAGAGGCGGTGATAAGGGAGGGCAGTAGAGACATGGCCACAGTGAGTACTGCTGGGAGTCTGTAGCTCCTAATGAGCAACTGGGAAATTAGAATGCAGAGAAAAGTCAGGTAGCAGACTGCTCCAAATTGATGGGAGACAGGTTAAAAAAATAGCTGACCAGCACGATTATCGTCTGTGGTTATGGGAAAAAAAAGGTGTTATGCAAAATATAATTATGTGATGAATCATTCGGAGGCATTTCTAATGAAAAACACTCACTAGGAAGGATTAGCCGGAAGTTGTGTCCATTGTCTGAGTTTGTAGCTCTCCTCGTCTTCTTTCTAAGCCTCCATAAATCCACGGGAAGTTTCTGTTTATCGATTTTATTTGCAGAATGCACTCAGGGTATAAAGTAATTTGATTTTTTTCAAAATGGGGTTTAGGGTCTGCCCCTACAGGGTTATAACTTACCAAGCATAAAAGCCAACACATAAAAACAAACATACAATTTGAAGAGAGTAGGGCTCACGGCAGCAGAACCTGGGAATCCAGCGAGGTGGTGGGATTACTCCCAGGCGCACCCCCACTCCCATATATCTGCTGAGCTGAAATCTCCTGGTGGGTGATATTTTCAATGCCTTTCATGCGTGGCATCACTGAACTGTTTTGAAAAATGCACCAACCCCACAGAGAAGAACACCATAGTCGTTTAGCAAATATAGAGGGAGAAAGGAGGATTTTCTTCATTGTTTACCAGAGCTAAAAATAATGCTGGGAATGTTACCCATCTTTGCAGCTTGTGTAAAATTTGTCCTTTTCTCATCAAAGTCAGCAGCCCAGACTGATCAATGTTGTTAATGTCGTCCCTGATCCAGCTTCTCATGTGTGTGCAAGGTCTACAGCCTGCAGGCTGTAAGCTAAAAAATAGTGCCGTGTGTTTTTATACGTCTTGTGCAGAAGATCTTTTCTGTTTTGAGTTCTAAGCAATCATGGGTAATTAAACTTTATAGAAGAATTTTTTTTCTTTACCAACCCTATTGGGCTTCTACTGCACTTGTCCAGTGACTCATAAAAGAAAAAAAAAAGAGGAGAAGACCCTTCTGCATCTGTGCCTTAGCCACTTCCCATGGATTCTCATCTCAGTGATGCACAGTGTGTGCAGGGAATGAAAAATGCCCCTACTTGGAATCATAAATGCTGAGTAGAGGAAGCCAGGCAAGCGAAGAATGCCATGTGCAGGCACCATGCTGTACAGAGGGTTGGTAAAGGGCCCGGCCCTTCTGCCTTAGCAGAAAGTAGATAATGAACAGCCTTTGTGGGATCTTTCAGGGATTACATAACCATGACACTACAGACCTTGAGTACAGAAAAGTGTGTACTTCGCTGTGCAGTGTAATAGCCACAGCTTCAAAGAGGCAGGGAGCGATGCACTGCTGGGGACACCTGTGGTACACCTGGCAGCCAGCAATCAGAGTCCTTTGAACTAGAGTCTTAAAGGCAAAGCATCAAAGAGCATCATGAGGGCCTGCAAACAGTTACTGTGGCTGCAGACGAAAGGGCAGTCTTAGCCTGTTGGGAATGGACCAGCGAGCACTCTCTTTGGTGACATCTACACTAATGGAAAAATATCACCACCCATAACAACATCTTTGAAAATAGATGCAAAGACACCTCTGGGCACTAGACACAAAGTAGAGCTGTGACTCCTCACTGGGCAAGGTCTTTTCTGACCCATCCATCATTCAGAATGCTTTAGTTCAGAGCTCAGCAACATAGTACTGATGCCCGGAAGTCTGTAATCACCTCTGGGTAGCACCCCACATCTGTCTAGAGCGTGGCTTCCAGGAGCAGGCAGACACCAGGTGAAATAATCACATGAGCCAGTGACAGCGCTCCCCAGGTGCCTAGGCGAGGCTGAAGGCTGCGCTGGCAATGTCTAACCCTCACAGACGTTCAGGAACTGGGTACTACAATGCTTTCCACTCTATAGCTAAGGAAGTGTGGACTTTGAGAAGACAATCAGTGGGCCCAAAGACACCCAGCAATGGAGTGGTGAGACCAACAACACTCTTAATCATTGCCTTTTACTTTCGAACACACCTTAAAATTGTTTCATTAGATTATAACCTCATATTTTTCAAGGGAAGTATTTTCTGGAAAAAGTGTATTCTCAAATTTAGCCATGAGCAGAAATTTGAAAGTAGCTCTTATACATTTCAAACCTATTGTCACTTATAAATTAAGTCATTTGATAAATTCCTTTAAAAAGCTAGAGTTTGACATGTGATTGAACCATCAGTTTCTCTTATGGATGTTATGACCCTGGGACACATAACTAAAATGTGCATATGATACGTGACAGGGAATCATGTTAATACAAAAGCTAAGAACCAGGCTATTCAGTCATTTCCTAAACAAAGCCAAGTCTGAACAAATAGAGGCATTACAGTAGTCTGGTCCTGGGGTCCAAGGAATTTCTCTAAGAAAACATTTGTCAAAGTGAGATTCACAGGACTGTCTGCTCCCGTATCACTCAGGGTTATGGCTAAAAATGCGTTCCATGGATTTGAGACTGAGACTTTATTGTAACAATCTTCTTAGATGGTTTTATTCATGGCAAAGTGTGAGAAGTTTTTCTCTAGTTTAAAGTAACTAATTCAGTGTATGTCAGACTGGAAATATGTTCAAAGATATAGTAATATTCAACACAGAAGAAAGGCATAGTCTTTTTATGCTCCTATAGAGACTAACATATCCCAACTTCCAGATACAACCTGACTCCCGCATCAATGAGGAGTATGTATATAAATGGAGTTACAGGAATGTGAGCAGCCTTAGGACAGTCACAATATACAAAAGCATCTCTTCAGCTCAGTATTCTGAAATGTCATGGGTAGAGATGACAATGTGTAGGTGATTATATTTTCAACAATGAGGTTTTTTGTTTTTCCTTTCCAGCTCTTCCTTTTGGCTTTCTTTGAAAACTAAGTGATTGCAACAAGAGACGTAAAATAAGTAGCTATTACTTTAGCATAAATTGTATTATCTTTTAAAAAGGCAGGGTGGAACAGGATATTAGTAATTACTAACCTTTTAAAACCTTTTGGAATGCATTATCTCATTTTGCTTTCAATAAACATACAGCATAGTCATTATTAACTTTGTCTTACACGAGCAGAAACTGAGGTCTAGAGCTTTGCTCAAGACCACATAGATAATGAGCTGCGTGACCATTTGTTCATTCATACAACAGACGTGTATTGATTGTCTGCTATAAGCCAGGCGCTGTTCCAAGTGCTAGAATTATGAGCATGAGTAAAAAGACCAGATTCTTGCTCTCAGGGAGCTTACATTCTACTTCCAGATCCGAGAGAATGTTAGTCAGGTCATCCGACTAAAAACCCAGCCAATACCACCTCTATATCCAAATCTCCTCATCAGTCCTCATGGTCTGTTTCAGTCAATCTTTTTGCTTCCATCTGCCTGTGTAATTCAGGGCATAGCAGGACTCTGAAAACCCAAGAGAGACCATGGCGCTGAAAGTAGGAAAAGAAAAGCTAAGAAAAAAGGAAATAGGTAGAGAAAAATTAATGAATAACCTCACAACCACAACTTCTTCACTACTTTTATAATTCCGTCATGGCTTCTGACTGGCCTCGCCCTGGGTAACACTTTTTTCCCTGCCCTTATCTCTACTGCAGCAGCAGCATCGGGGTGTTCTTCTGTGGACCGAAAGCTCTCTCAAAGACACTTCAAAGGATGTGCCGCTTATATTCATCAGTTGACCCCAGGGGTGTTCATTTTTATTACAACAAGGAAAGCTTCTAGACTTTGAAGGTAAAAATCCATGCATTGTATAAGTAGCTTCAATCAGACAGGTCAGAGGTTAGGAGATTTTTTTCTATGAAGGGCCAAATAGGCTTTTGAATCATTAGGCTTTGTGGACCATATGCTCTGGATGGTAACTACTCAGCTCTGTCATGCTAATGCACCAACGTAGTCACAAATAATAACGTAAATGAATGGGTGTGGCTGTGTTCTAATAAAACTTTATTTATGGATGTGGAAGTCAAATTTCTTATAGCTTTCTCATGTCATCAATGTTTTTCAACAATTAAAAAAAAGACATTCTTAATTCATAGGCAGTCCATCTTTCCAAACTTATCTTCATGCTTAACATGACATCCAGTGTGTAGCTACTGGATTCGAAGTCTCCTTTAGAAGTCATTTCAAATTCTCTTTATCCTGATGGCAGAGACATTTACCTTCTATCTAAATCTGATCTCTTCTGCTTTAAACTTCTTCATGTTTTTTTCTCATTCTCCACAGACCACAGAAGTCACCAGTGGAGCTTTTCTTTAATATTTTATATACTTGAAAGTGATATTGAAACCATTTCTTACCTATGCCTTTTCTAGTCCAAACAATACTAAATTCTAAATTTTCCATCTATGATGTATATTCTAGCTTTTCACTCATTCTCGTTGCTCTTCTTCCAATTCATTTCCAACTCTTCACATCCTTCTTAAAATGTGTTGACTAAAATGACCGTAACATTCTAATAGAAGCATGACTAACGTCAGATAGAAGAGTGACATTTTTAGATCTTACGTGCCAGGTACATACAACCAAGTTCCACTTTTGTCTTTCTCTCTCTTTTCTTTCTTCCTTCCATATTTCTTTCTCACTCTCTTTTCACAAATACTTTTATTACTGTCACGTTTTGGTCTATGGTCATCTTGACACTTATATCCCGTCTCAACTTCTGCCCCACATAGTAACTGAGATTCTCTTTTTTCATTTAAAATTCCCATTGGGACAGTCTTTCCATCCTATATGACCATTTTACCCCAAAGAGTTTTTGACACTAGTACTGATTAATTTTAGTACCTGTTTTCTATTATTTTAAGGTTGTTTTGAAGTTTTGCCTCAAATACTGAACTAGTATCGAGCTTAGTGATATCTACAAATTTAGTTAATGATGTTTCAAATCTTTTGTTTAGGTTTTCAATCAAGTTACTGACTCCAAAGAACTCTACCAGGAATTCCTGCAGCTGCCTGTGAAGATGCACTCCTAGTTGAGAACCAGTTAATGATAACTATTAAGACTAGCAATTCACACTGGACTACTTTGGCTTATAAATAGGTCATGTACAATACAACAAAAAATTTACTGAAATTTAAATATGTTATCTTTTTCAAATGTTTCTTATCTTTGTGGACTGTCATTGTGCCACAAAAGAGAACTAAATTTTTCTGACATGATGTGTTTTATAAAGTCATGTAGCCACTTAGCTCTTTGGAGTGTTTCTAAATTATAAATTAGTCATTTATTTTATCTTATCCTCAGTTATTGATATTGAGTCCATTTTTTTTTCCTACGGTGTATTTAAAAATGTATCC